GAACTGGACATGGAACAACAGACTGGTTCCAAATAGGAAAAGGAGTACATCAAGGCTGTATATTGTCACCCTGCTTATTTAACTTAAATGCAGAGTACATCAGGAGAAACGCTGGGCTGGAAGAAGCAGGAGCTGGAATCAAGATTGACAGGAGAAATATCAATAACCTCAGATATGCAGATGACACCACCCTTATGGCAGAAAGTGAAGAACTAAAGAGCCTCTTGATGAAAGTGAAAGAGGAGAGTGAAAAAGTTGGCTTAAAGCTCAACATTCAGAAAACTAAGATCATGGTATCTGGTCCCATCACTTCATGGCAAATAGATGGGAAAACAGTGAAAACAGTGACTGACTATTTTGGGGGGCTCCAAAATCACTGCAGATGGTGATTGCAGCTATGAAATTAAAAGACGCTTAGTCCTGGGAAGGAAAGTTACGACCAACCTAGACAGCATATTAAAAAGCAGAGACATTACTTTGTCAACAGACGTCCGTCTAGTCAAGGCTATGGTTTTTCCAATAGTCATGTATGGAGGTGGACTATGAAGAAAGCTAAGAGTCAAAGAATTGATGGTTTTGAACTGTGGTGTTGGAGAAGACTCTTGAGAGTCCCTTGGACTGCAAAGAGATCAAACCAGTCAATTCTAAAGGAAATCAGTCCTGAATATTCATTGGAAGGACTGATGCTGAAGCTGAAACTCCAATACTTTGGCCACCTGATGCAAAGAGCTGACTCATTGGAAAAGACCCTGATGTTAGGAAAGATTGAAGGCAGGAGGAGAAGGGAACGAAAGAGGATGAGATGGTTGGATGGCATCACCGACTTGATGGACATGAGTTTGAGTAAGCTGCAGGAGTTGGTGATGGACAGGGAAGCCTGCCATGCTGCAGTCTATGGAGTCACAAAGAGTTGGACAAGACTGAACAATTGAACTGAACTGAGTCTGATTCCAGACTTCAGGCTTCACTGGCCTAAGACGTCTGCTGTTTGTTCCTGCACTGGCTCTGCTCAAACTCTTTGTCTCTATACGTCATCCTGCTGTGTATTTAGAATCACCTATTCTGACCCTGGGCCAGGGCTGTCTCCTGGACTCTCTTTCCTCAGAGAGCTGGTTTCTGGCAGAGGACTCTTATTCCCGATGTTAAAGAGATCCCTAGTAAGGTCTGTGGCTCCGGTTCTCAGGATGTGTTTCTTCAGAGGCTGAACATACGAGGATAATGCAGTTTAGGCTTAAACTGGGACTTTGACTCTGGACTCTGGATAAATGGTTACTAATAGATATTTATTTGGGACTGGAATTTTAGACAGTTGGCCACTAAAGGTGCAACAGGGACAAAGTGTGCCTTCTTGGGATGAGATTTGAGTGAAAATCAGATCATACAAGCAGAAAACAGATCTGTGTGACTAACTGGTACAAAAATAAAAAGCAGTAGCCTGTGACTCTGGAGAAGGAAATGGCAACCCGCTCCAGTGTTCTTCCCTGGAGAATTCCCAGGGATGGGGGAGCCTGGTGGGCTGCCATCTATGGGGTCACACAGGGTCGGACACGACTGAAGCGACGCAGCAGCAGCAGCAGCAGCAGCAGCAGCCTATGACTCACTGAAGTAAAATCCTTGCCCTGATCTGGGTGTCCACAAATTCTGCACTATTGCCATTTCCCTTCTCCCCGTAATGAGCAGCGTTCCCTGGGTACCGACCCAGAGCCCTCCGTCTCGCTCTATGTTTTCTCTCTTTTCTCTCTCTTGCTTCCGCATCTACCTCCTTGAAGGTCTGTGTTTTCCAGAAATATACCGCATCCTGGTTATTCCCATTCTTACAGCTCAGGCAAATTCACAGTGGATTCTTCACTTCTCTTATTTTACTTCCTTGGAATTTTTAAGTTCAGAGCTTTCTTTTTCTTTGATTTCTTAAGATTTCCCTCAGCATCATTAGATACTGTCTGTTAAACCCTTGTTTTTGTTCTGGGTGTTCCCCCAGGTAGCAAAGTAACTAAAGAACTTCCTCCTGGCCTTAAACCTTAGCTCAAGGACCACGTCCTCAGTGAGGCTCATCCTCACTCCCAGTTTAAACTTACACCCCCTAGCCCTTCCCTTGCACTCTCAATTTCTTGTCTCTGTTCTCTTTCTTTTTAAGAGCTCCTTTTGTCTTCTAACACAATATACAGTTTACTACATTGCCTGTCTGTCACATGTTGGGGCCAGGGATTTTTGTACCTTTATTCATGGGGTTGCAAAGAGTCGGAGACGACTGAGCGACTGAACTGAACTGAACTGAGTCAATGATACAGAACAGCGCCTGACATCGGTGATAACTCAGAAAATATCTGTTGCATTTGTTGCATTATTACAAGTGACATCTTCCCTTCACAAATTTGCAACCTAAGTTCAACTGTAGACCTAGTAAGAAATGAAAAACTAACAAGCAAAAAAAAAGTTACATTTATTATATGCAAGCAAAGACTTCTGTGTTCTTTCACCCAGCAAGGACGTCCTAACCCCCTCCCTGTTTCACTCTCAGAGCTAATGATCACCTATCCTTTTCATTTGTCTTTGAAATCACTTTGCATGCATAACTTCCCCTTTGTTCTCTCTGTCACGATTTTTGTTTCTGGCCTCCATTTTTTTTGGAGCATCTTATCTGGTAGTTTTGATTCTAGCATCACCCACCATCACTACACTTCACTTCATACATCACTATTCAAAATGCATAATTTTTTTTTTTTTTTTTTTTGGCCATGCTGCTTGGCTTGCGGGTCTTAGTTCCCCGACCAGGGATGGAACCCAGGCCACTGGCAGTGACAACGTGCAGTCCTAACCACTGGATCACCAGGGAAGTCCCTCAAAATGCATAATCGACCACATTACTCCTCCACGTAAAATCGCTCAGAGCTTCTCACAAGGACAAGGTTCACACTTCTTCATGTGGCACGGAAGATTATTGATGATCATGGTCATCTCCTGCCGTATGAAGAAGGCAAGTTTTAGAATTTACCTGTGGTTCAGAGAGTATCACGGGGTACCTCGTGCCCCTGTGCTGTGTGAGAGGAGCTTCCTCTTCTGTCTACCTGGGGAACATCTAGTCAGTGAGAAGGGTCGGGCTCAGGCGTCATCACTTCTGTAAAACCTGCCCTGAGGTTTTCTCATCATCTAGTCCAGAGCCAACTCATCTATGCTTCTAGAGCATCCCAGATGGTCAGACCCATGTCCCAATCCAGAAAAGAATCAATTATCCATCTCCCCCCATGCATCATGTGGTCCTTGGCCATCTCTGCCTGGCTTTTCATGGTACCTTTGGCATCTCTCAGTTGGTAAAGAATCTGCCTGCAATGCTGAAGAGACCTTAGTTCGCTTCCTGGGTTGGGAAGATCCCCTGGAGAAGGGAAAGGCTACCCACTCCAGTATTCTGGCCTGGAGAATTCCATGGCCAGTCCATGGGGTCACAAAGAGTTGGACATGACTGAGTGACTTTCACTTTCACTTTGGCATCTAATGCAGAGACTGTTCACGTGGTGTGTTGAAAGTCACTAAATGTTTATAGGGAGAAGCCCTGGCTCAGATGCTGCCTTCCTGAGCTGTGTGCCAAAGAAGGTGCGTCCACTGTGAGACAGCCTGGAGGTAAAGGTCACGAACGTCTAATGGCACATGTGGGGAGTGCAGCTCTTAGGCACACAGCCCTGCTCATGGGCAGTCTGTGTTAACCTGTCTCTTCCAGAGATCTCACCATGTGTGTGTGCAGGTTCCAGATGCTGTGTTAGCCATCGTAATATTTGTCTTTCTCGTACCACACCTTAACTTTCCCTAGAGAGCCCCATGGAACTAATAATAATGTCTCTTTTTAAAACTTGATCACTTCCAAAGCTTTTAGGGCTTACATTTTTCAAATGAAGCATGATTATAGCTGCAACTGCCTGTGCATTTCTCATGGTTTGTCTTAAAGTGTATTGCAACTTCTTAAATTTGAGAAACTAACTTTGTTTCAACATTCATGTAAGATGTCTTATAGAATTCCTCAACAAAAATAATAACAATAATAATACTTTTTTTTAAATTCATCACTTCCTTTGGGGCCAGATATAGATTCTCCATATATTTCCCCCTTGTACTTACCTGCCTAATTTAAGTGCAAAGCTAATTTCAGTGAGAGAAAATCATTTCTTCCCCTCCATTCAAGGTATATCTTCATTCAATAATTATACCTCCACCCTGGCTCTGGGATTTATCAAAAAGATGATATATTTGTTATATACATTCATTTTTCCAATACATATTACAAAATCAGCTTCTCTGATTCATTGTTTTAAACTTGGAACTAATCCCTCAAAATATTTTAAGGTGGAAGTTACAAGGGTGAAATCTCCTATCACCTGGGTTTTAATTCCAAACGATTTCAGCGTTAAGTCTTTTTAAATTTGATTGATAGTAGGGAGAGCCTGCCTGCCCAGAGAGGAAAAAAAAGTTGGGGTGAGATAAGAGAACAATTTTCATAACGTTATTAAAGGTCTGGCAATACGGGAGTGGCTTTCCTGGTGGCTCAATGGTAAAGAATCCACCTGTCTGTATAGGAGACATGGGTTCGATCCCGGGGTCAGGAAGGTCCCCTGGAGAAGGAAATGGCAAGCCACTCCAGTGTTCTTGCCTGGAGAATCCCACGGACAGGGGAGCCTGGCAGGCTACAGTCCATGGAGTTGCAAAGAGTCAGACATGACTTAATGTCTAAACAACAATAATACAAGACTGGTGTGCTGTAAGAATGAAAATAGGCAGGCATTCAGAAAAGAAGCCACTGTAGTCACTTGTTTATGTTACATCAGAATATGTTTGATTGTTCACAGGAAGAAACGAGAAGAAAAATAATCACATTTTTTGGATTGTAAAGTTTCACTACTTATACAGATTTTAATGTATCATTTGTGTGGATGGATCTGGGTACAAGTACTCAGTAATGACTCTGCTCCTGGAGAGGCTGACAAAAATGATTAACTGTTAATCTTCAGTTCTGTTTAATCTAAATCATTTCTATTTCCTTCTAAAATAACTGGCATCTAAAAACAAAAGGAAAAAAATGTTTCTTAAGTTTGCAGGAGAGACATTTGCGAACAGAACAGCTGACTCTTGATTACATGTGGAATTCCTGATCACATACAGAACTCCTATTCCATAAACAGCATGTTCTTGATTACATATGAAAAATGGGTGCAAGGAAAATCTACAGATAAACTCCACAGATAATACTAATACTATATTTTAATCAACATTTTTGTTTCAAAACGTTGGGACATCGAGGGGACTAATGCAATTAAGGGAAGGGCTTCCATTTGCAGGACCAACTATAATCACAGCCCAGAGGCCCTTATCTGGGGCAGAGGGGTAAGCTGTGCTGAAGATTACTGAAATATAACTTTAGGAACTCATATTTAATCTTGTATAATTTGACAATGACATGGAAATATCACATTGTTTATAATGATCATCAATCAGTATGACCTACCACGGTCAGGAGCTTTAGCTGACTTCTCGGTCTGCAGGAAACAGAAAAAGAATAATGTCAAAGAAAACAAAAACAAGTGGGGGTGGTGAGGAGGATTAAAATAGAGAACTGGTAACTGTTTAATTAGCATCTTAGGAACTGGACAAGAGAGTTCTATGTTAACATCCTTCGCTGGTCCTCATCAACCCCTCAGGGTTTGTGCATACAGGCTGGAGCAGAGAATACTGAGAGCTGAGAGTCCTCTGTTAATAAAACAACAGATTATAAGATTCCATACCAGTGGAAGAAAATCTGATCATAAGATCTGGCCTGTTGTATATTTATATCAGAGTAAGCTGTTTTATTGTAAACTAAATCTTAGTTCATAATCTGTATAGTATTTTTCTTAGAAATGATCATAAGTTCCCTGGGGGCAGTGAACTTTGCTTTGCAACTCAGGTCCTACAAAAAAACATGAAGCAACTATTTCATGCTAGGCAAAATACCAAGCACTTTTACATAATTTATCTTGTTTGTCTTAAACTAAGACAAGGAAAAAGGTGGGTTTTTTAAATGTTTAACATTATTATGCATATATTCTAACGCTAAAGCCATTACCATTTAGAAAGAGAAACAACTTACCCCGGTTTTCTGACTCTCTCTCTGGACCTTCTAATTAAATCTTCCAACTGTTTATTTCTCTCTTCTAAACTGAAAGAAGAAACAACTGAAGTTTATGATTAAAATGGCCTTTTCTAAGCTAACGTCACTGGAGGGTTTGAGTAGGTAAATTTAATGATGGTCTAGCTTTCTATACATCATCCAGCCATCTTTAAACTGCTCAGTCATTCGGTCGTGTCCAACTCTTTGGGACCCCATGGACTGTAGCCTGCCAGACTCCTCTGTCCATGGGATTTTACAGGCAAGAATACTGGAGGAGGTTGCCATTCTCTCCTCCACATTTTCCCAACCCAGGGATCAAAACTGTATCTCCTGCATCTCCTGTTTGGCTGGCGGATTCTTTACCACTGAGCCACCTGAGAAGACAGCTATATGGGAACTTGGAATTCTTTCCTAGCAACTCAAATTATTTAATTAATTTCTCCCTTTAAAGGTTCCGGTGGTGAAGAAGGAGAGTGACCCCTCCTTCCCAGCCCTCTTTGTCCCCACATCCTGGATGACCACTCATCCGCTTTCTCACAGTATAGTTTTGCACCATGTAGAATTTTGTGCAATGAACTCTTACACTCAGCCTAATTATTTTGCAACTCACCCACATGTTGCACCTATCCGAGGTCGCTCATTTTTTATTGCTGTATAGAATTCCACTGGGTGGCCATGTCACACTTTGTCCGTCATCCCACCGTTTGAGGGACATTAGGTCGTCCCTAGGTAGGGGCTATTACAAATAAAGCTATCTGGAAATTCTCTTTTGTGTTAACACACACGTTCTTTCTTCTTGGATCAATACACAGGAGTGGGTTGGCTGAAACATACGTTGGGTATGTTTAATTTTAAAGAAGGCACCAAATTGTTTTTTGAGAGGTTGTTCCATTTTACATTTCCACCAGGAGGCTATGAGCATCTCAGTTGCTCCATGTCCTTGCCGATACCTGGTATGGTCAGTTTTTTAGGCATTCTAATAGGTGTGTAGTGGCCTTCACTGGGGTTTAATTTGCCTATTAATGATGTTGACTATCATTTAATGTGCTTACTTGTCATCCACATATCTATCTTCTTGGTGAAGTGTCTGTTCAAATCTTTGCCCATTTTTATGGGGTTGCTTTCTTATTCTCTGGTTTTGAGAGTCTGTTATGTATTCTGGTTACAAGTTCTTTATCAGATATATGACTTGTAAATATTCTTTCATGTTAGTCTTTTCATTCTCTTAATGATGTCCATGGAAGAGCCAAAGTTTTTAATTTTGATGAAGTATGATTATCAAAATTTTCTTTTGTGAATCATGTTTTTAGTATCATATTTAAATCACTGCCTAACCCAACATCAACTCAACATCAGGAATTTTTTCCTATATTTTGAGAATTTGTTATACTTTAGCTCTTTCATTTAGGTCTAGTATCCATTTTGAGTTACTTTTGCATGTGATACAAGGTATAAATCAAAGCATTTTTGTTTTCTTGTTTGTTTGCAAATGGATGGCCAATGATTTCTGCATCCTTTGCGAAGAATGTGTGTGTCTGAATCACAACAAACTGAATCACTTTGTTGCCCAGCAGAAATTAACAGAACACTGTAAACCAACTGTATTTCAATAAAACATATTTAAAAGATAAAAATAAAATCTAGATCAAGAAATAAGAAATAAGTCTTAACAATACTGAATCTTAAGATCTAAGAAACAAGTACACCTCCTTAGATATTTGTCTTTATTTTATATTTATAATATTGAATGTACTATTTTATATTTATATTGTCTTCTTTATTTTTTTACACCATATCAAAGATAATTGTTTTATTTAAAAGCAAATATTTATGTGTTTGTATGTGTTGCAGCCCTTGTGGAAAAAAAAATTTTTTTAAGTCCTTTGATTTGAAATTCAATGTAAACAAGTATACAATCTTAAACCATAAATTCTAATTTTTTTCCTTTGTGTTTAAGTGATGTGAAAGCTTTTGTTCTGTTCAAAGGGATCTGTGTATTTGAATTACAGTAACTTCTTCACTGGTTTTGTTTGTTGTTTAGTCACTAAGCCATGTCCAACTCTTTGGCGACCCCATGGACTGTAGCCTGCCAGGTTCCTCCGTCCATGGGATTTCCCAGGCAAGAATACTGGAGAGGGTTGCCATTTCCTTCTCCGTTCTTTATTTTTTAATGAGGTAAAATTGGCATATATTATTACATAAATCTCAGGTGTATGGCGTTATAATTTGACCTCTGTATGCATGACTAGTGTTACCACCGGAAGTCCAGTCACCATCTATCACCACACAGCCCCATCCCCCTCACCCATCTCGCTGGCTCACCACTCCCTTCCCCTCGGGTAACCACCAACAGGTTCTCTGTATTGATGAGTTTGCTTTTGTTTTGTGTGTGTGTTTTATCCACACTTTCTTTCATTTATCTTGTGGTGAGTTAGCACTATACGAAGCTCCTGTTTGAGGGGGTGTAAGATTAGACCTTTTGCTTAAGCTCTAATGGCAGCAAGCACTGTACAAATGAAACTGGGAGAAGGGTGGAGGAAAGAGCATGTAAGAAATAAAGAGAATAAATAAGTGGAAAAACTTTACAGAGTTTAAAACACTAATTTTGGAATATTTCACACTGAATCTCAATAAATGAGAAAGTTTACTTGGTACTTGATATGTTTCATTTGGGGTGCATTCAAAACCTTATGTGGATAAATTCTAAGCATAGCAAGATTATTTTACTTGAACACTGTGGTGATATCCTCTAAAGTTCTTGGATGTTTCTCACTAATTCCTCAACCTCACTCCCCACCCACCCCCACATCAAAGGGAGTTCTGAGAAGGAAGACGAAACTCTGGGTGTTTGAGTAATCCAGACATTAAACAGAATAAACACATTACTGAAGAATGGTCTTCTTGACTTACAAAATGGCACATTCCCCTCTTTGTAGGAGTCTGAAAGATGAACTCAGCAAGTCAGAAAGTGACACACCAGCAAATGTTTACAAAATTAAAAATGAAGTTTTTTCAACTTACTGTGCAATCCAGGAGTGGGATATCACAAGTCTTTGGTCAGCACATTTGATAATTTCCTCATAAGATGTAACCTTGGGAAACATTAGCTAAAACAATTATTCTGTGATCAATTCTAGGATATTTACTTCATTTTGTTCATATTTTTGCTTTTTAAGAATCTGCACAAGTTGAAGTTCATTTACATGACTTCTGTGAATGAAGGTTTCAAGCAAGGTTTTATATCTTCCTTGTATTTTGAAACCAGGAATATGGATACAAGTAGAACTGAAATGTGCCTGTTCACCATGCAGAAAAAGTATCAAAACATGGACAACTGTAGTGAATCAACTGTGATCCACACAAGTAGTGTATGTGTCAACCCAGGCTCAGAGTCCACAATGCAGTTTTAAAAGGTAAACTAGAACACTATGTTGGCAAGATTTAGAAGGACCCTCCAAATGAAGCAGTGATGCTAAGACTAAGAGACTGCTGACAACAGAAGGCTATATGAACACATACAGTTCTTTGCTAACTTTTAGCTAAAAGGATAATGACACAAAGTCATTATGAAGTGAAATGTGTTACGTCATCCCTCATATCTTAAAGAAGATCAGTCCTGGGTGTTCACTGGAAGGACTGATGCTGAAGCTGAAACTCCAATAATTCGGCCAACTCATGCGAAGAGTTGACTCATTGGAAAAGACCCTGATGCTGGGAGGGATTGGGGCAGGAGGAGAAGGGGAAGACAGAGGATGAGATGGCTGGATGGCATCACCGACTCGATGGACATGAGTTTGAGTAAACTCTGGGAGTTAGTGATGGACAGGGAGGCCTGGAGTGCTGTGATTCATGGGGTCACAAAGAGTCGGACACGACTGAGCGACTGAACTGAACTGATTCCTCATATCCCTTTTTCGCACCCAAATTCTAATGTTTTAATATTTGACATAGTGTTAAATATATATTTGTGTAAGAAAATCTGTACCTTATTTATTAAGTTGCCTAAATGTCTTTGATACTTGTCATTTTCTTCAGTGAGTCTGTTGCAGTGGTCTTCTTTTGTCTCTAGAAGATTTTCCAATTTTGCAATCTATGGAGTAACATCAGCAAAAATGCTAACTTGAAAACTGCCATAAAAACCACATATGGATGCTAAGAACAATGAGAACAGTGAGCTATACTTTATTTCAATATTCTCTTACGCTGATTTGTACCATAGGTGAATTGAGAGAGGCTGTTAGTTAGACTGCAATTAGAACACATGAACAGAAATTTTAATGGTGTTTCAGCTTTTCTACAATTTAATACAATGAAATAGCTTTGCAGGTAGCTAGACATCTGCTAGTAAATACAAGTACTTATTAGACTCAAGTCTTTTCTTTCCGTACATAACCAATGCATAGACTACCTTCTTTCTGTATATAACCAATGGATATTTGATTCTGTCTGAAGCACTGATGTGCTGCTTGATGATAAATTTTCAGGTTTCATCAATATTCTCACATGTATAAATGAGTTTTTAAAAGGTTCAGCTCAATGTGCATCACATTCTGACTTATGGTCCAATTTTTTTTCTTTGTTTTTTGTTTTGTTTTTTAATTTTTTAATTTTTTTAGTCCAACTTTTATTTGCAAAAAATTAACATTAACAACTTAAACATTGTATTTTTACATTAATAACTTAAAATTTGTATTTCTAAAAATGATATCTAGGATAAATTATCAAGAAAGGGTATTTACAAGTTCCCCAGCAGTTACCTTAATTTTCAAAGAAATTATAGAAGAAAAAGGACAGAAATGTTCCCTTTAAATAACAGTGTTAAGAGTGGCCATTGATTTTCTAATATTTAAACATATTTATTTATATATGTTTACACATCTGTGGTTAGATGCCCTACAGGAAACAATGGCAGAACAAATTTTCTGCAGACACAGCGGCTTTCTTGCTCTTTCTCTTTACACAGATATATTAATGGGGACAATATCAAATCGGGGTCCCATTCCTATCACTGCACATGTTATTTAAGGTGGGGAGTACAGATATTACCTCAGTTTAACAGATAGACCCAAGGTGAAGAGAATTTAAAATGCTTTTTAAACTACATGGCTAGAAGTAGAAAGAGAGAAGGGGGCGGCAGACGCTGAGATTGTTAGCATCACTGACTCAGCGGACACGAATCTGAGCAGACTCCGGGAGACACTGGAAGACAGGGAAGCCTGGCGTGCTGCCGTCCATGGGGCTGCAAAGAGTGGGACACGACGGAGCGACTGAACACCACCATTTGAACCTCTGTGTCTAGAGCAGCTCTTCCTTTCCTCTCCTTCCCTTTCTGTGTGCCAAGTGTTATGGATTAGAATTTCTCACATTTGGAATTTTTATCACGGTCAGCTTAATGTGCTTCTTTATCCTCTCAGGAGTGGCGTGGTCTGGAAGCTTGCTTTTAGATGAGACACCATGGACAGTGCCCGTCCCATGCCTCATGCCATCAACGGCACACCTCACCTTTTGTGCAGCTAAGCTGGACAACAGGGCTCTGGTGTGGGCCATTAAAAGCTTCCTGTGAGTCTTGAACTTACAGGTTTTAGCAGCCATTCTCATAAAAAAGATTCCTTATTTTATTCAGGGATGCAAGATGTAATTTTCTATAGGTGTGTCTTCTGCTTTTTTTTAAGATTTTTTTTGATGTGGACCATTTTTAAAGTCTCAGTTGAATTTGTTACAACGCTGCTTCTGTTTTCTGTTTTGATTTTTTGCCCGCGAGGCATGTGGGATCTTAGCCCCAACCAGGGATCCAACTGGCACCGCCTTCACTGGAAGGCGGGGTCTTAACCACTGCGCCGTCAGGGAGCCCCTCTTCTGCTTTTAACAGTTTACATTCCTCAGCGAAGAACTCTCCCTCATCAGTTATTCGGTCCCTCTGAGATATGGTTTGTACAAGAACGTCTGCAGCACATATTAGAGGCAACATAGTGTGACTGAGATGCTGCCATCTGTGAGCGTTTTCTCACTTCAGCTTCCCACCCAGGGGAGACTGAGGTCCAATCCAAGCCTCTTTTGTGCCTGAAGCTCAGAAGCTGCAGACAGAGCCTTCGCCCTTGCATCTGCCCCCTGCCAGCCCGCGGGCACTCCTCTGCGCCTCTCCCACCTGGATGTCACGGGCGCCTTCTGAGCTCCAGCTGGCCGACAACCGTCTCCTTTGTCGGATGTGTATCTTAGCTCTTTCTAAAAAGGTTCCCTCCAGTCCTTCCAAATAGCTATCTGTATATCGCACCTTCTTTTCTAGATTCCTTGGAGGCAGGGAACGGCCTCCATTTGATGTAACTTTCCATCAATATCTCCATACTGACTAGCCTTGCTTACCCTTTCAAGGAAATCAATAATTATCTATATAATGAAGAAAATTAATGCAGTAGAAAGGAAGAAAACTGTAAGCCCTCATAGCATCAGGCTTTTTCCTCTCTCTTATGCAATGAATTTAGTACAGAATGCTGCCTTTAACAATTTAGAAATACAACAGACTTCTCTAACGATGAAAACATAAACTCTGGGGCCTTCCCTAGTGGCGCAGTGCTAAGAATCCACCTGCCAAGGCAGGACGCACGGGTTCCACCCCCGGTCCGGGAAGATCCCACGCACTGCGAAGCAGCTAAGCCCACCAGCCGCGGCTACTGAAGCCCGCGTGCTCTGCGGCAAGAGAAGCCCGGGCACTGCGACCGGAGAGGAGCCCCTGCTCGCCACGCCTAGAGAAGAGCCTGTGCAGCAATGAAGACCCAGCACAGCCAGAAATAAATAAACGTTACAAAAACCAATTAAGTTAATTAACCTCTTTCTCATTAGATAGTGGGATCCAAATGGATTGTAACTTCCTAGGTACCAAGATATTTTCATCTTCTTCCCACAGATTTTTCCTGTTTTATCTGCTTTAACCCTTTTTTCCAGCTTTATTGATGTATAACTGATGCAACCATTGTGTAAGTTTCAGGTGTACAGCCTGCTGATTTGATACACTGATATATTGCAGAATGATTACTGCCATTAGTTCCACCCCTCCCACAATCACCACTCCCCTGTGAAGGCTTTGGGTGCCATCCAAAGAACTAATGCCATTTCCCCCTCACCCCCTTAATCACGATTGCTGTAAACACCTACTGCTCTAAGAATGGTGGTTGTATGTGCCACAATATAAATGTGCTTCATTCACTACGAAAAACTCGCACATACTTTAAAATTTCTGCATTTTGAAAGAAAAAAAATCTGATTACACAGAAATCAGGTGGGACAATATTTAAAATTTCAAAACCTGAGGGTGCAAACTTCAGTTCTATATTTGTGGGGGTGAATAATACTGCTACTATGCCAGTGTGTGACCATTTCAAGGAGCAAAGTTTTTGAAGGTAGATCATTTCCACAACTTGTTATTAAGACAGTGTTGTAAATAAAAAGGCTAGCAAAGCAACGAAAGGTATTTCTTACCAAAAAATCAAGCTCCTTGTTTAGGTTGTGGTACTGGTTCAGTTTGGCTCTCAGTACCACAGGCACGTCTCTGACATTCTTGGCTTCCTTGGAGTCAGATTCTGTAACCTGAGATGAAACATATTTGTGCTCACTTCCGATATGTTCACTCCCTTGGACCGTAGGGCGGTGAATACGCTATCAGTTAAACCACCAGAGAGCTCGCTAGTGGCTTCAATAACAGAATGCTCTCAATGTAAGATCTAAAATTGCATTTTTGTATGTTAGAGGCAGTGAATGTTTAACTCACCTGAGGAACCTGATGTTGAAATGATTTTTCATTAGCAAGTAACTCTCTGAAAGCTGCAATTTTGTCTTTATGTTTCAGTAGCTAAGGAAAAAGGCATTTTCTATTTCAGAGACAGAGAGGAAATAAAACTACATTCAGTAACATTTCTAATAAAACCACCAAACCACGCACAGCCCAATCCCTGTCTCAAAGGTGTCTTGTATTTTGAGCTCTTGTGTAGCAGAGTTCACACCACAGGCTGAGGCTGTTGTCCCCAGAAAGGCCTGCTCACCAAGCTGCGCCCTGATTGGCTTCTAGGAACCTGGATCGTGGGAGGGTCTCCATCATTTCCTGATATGAAGGCTCACTGTGTCTAACCTGTTTGCACAGAAGATGTGGTTTATGCTGAACGCCTCCTTCCACGGGGAGAGTCTGGGATTTTGGTACGTGGCAGGCAGAGGGTGCCTGCCTATGCGACCAGCCTCTGATAGAAACCCTGACGCTCGGTCTCCAGCGAGCTTCCCTGGAGCTGCACACGGGCTGCACAGCTCACTGCCAGGGAGGGGGAGGGCACCTGGTTTCCTCTGGACTTTGCCCCACGCGCTTTTCCCTTTGGCTGGTTTTGCTCTGAATCCTCCTGCAATAATAATACCTCATAACTGGGAGGACGACAGGGTGCTGAGTCCTGGGAGTCCTGCAAGTCACCAAACCTGAGGGTGGGCATGGGAGCTCCACAGAGATTATCCTAACACTCAGTGGCTTTCACAGCCAGGCTATTAAGACTCTGCTTTACAGAGAAAAATTAGCCAACTTTTTATAGATACAATTTAGTATCATTTCTTGTTTGTTCCATATAATAATGATAGATCTTTAATATTCAGTATTCTAACTCCTCCAAATACCAGTGATAAAATATGCTGTACAGAATTTTTATTTTACTATGAACAATTTAAAAAAAAAACAGAAAAAACTCTAATGAACCCCCATGTAACTATTTGGAGAAGGCAATGGCACCCCACTCCAGTACTCTTGCCTGGAAAATCCCATGGATGGAGGAGCCTGGTTGGCTGCAGTCCATGGGGTTGCCAAGAGTTGGACACGACTGAGCAACTTCACTTTCACTTTTCACTTTCATGCATTGGAGAAGGAAATGGTAATCCACTCCAGTGTTCTTGCCTGGAGAATCCCAGGGACGGGGGAGCCTGGTGAGCTACAGTCCATGGGGTCACACAGACTCAGACACAACAGAGCAGCTAAGCACAACATCCCTTTTGAACTCTCAATGAGGCTTCTTTTTGAAGGTTGGTTTAAGAAGTGGAGACCAGCTTTGTGCAGTGGCAGTATCATAGCCAATGAGGTTTATCCGAGGTGCAATTATTGCTAATTGAAGAAAAAAAAAAAGAAGTGGAGACCAGTAGTTTTTCTGCATGTCTGTTTATTCCTTGGTCCTTTTCTCTATAGGTTAGCCAGAAGATAGGTTCCCCAGAGCACTTGCAACAAATTTCCTATCCACCTCACAGTTCAGAGAAGTCATTTCCTGCTAGTACAATATTAAGATTGAATCCCAGATTTACTATTCAGCCAGGTCAACTGGTCACTTCTGTTTTCCTCTCAGATTAAAAATGGCTCCTGTTCGAGTCCTGTTACCATTTTCCCTACTGAGAGTCACAGCGTGCTGGCAAAAGTCCTTTTGAAGGAGGTCACCATTATCCCTACCACGGTTTGGCCTCAGGCCAAACTACAGTGAAGGAACACAGCCCCACCCATCAGCATAAAATTGGATTAAAGATTTACTGAGCGTGGCCCTGCCCACCAGAGCAAGACCCAGTGTCCTACAGCCAGTCCCTCCCATTAGGAAGCTCACAAGCCTCTTATCCTCATCCATCAGAGGGCAGACAGGATGAAAACCACAATCATGGAAAACTAACCAAACTGATCACATGAATCACAGCCTCATCTAACTCAATGAAACTATGAGCCATGCCGTGTGGGGCCACCCAAGACGGACAGGTCATGGTGGAGAGTCCTGACAAAATGTGGTCCACTGGAGAGGGGCATGGCAAACCACTTCAGCATTCTTGCCTTGAGAACCCCGTGAACAATATGAAAAGACAAAAAGATATGACCCTGAAAGATGAACTTCCCAGGTCAATAAGTGCCCGATATGCTACTAGAGAAGAGCAGAGAAACAGCTCCAGAAGGAATGGAGAAGCTGAGTCAGAGGGGAAACAACGTCCAGCTGTGGATGTGTCTGGTGGTGAAAGCAAAGTCCGATGCTGTGAAGAACAGTATTGCATAGGAACCTGGAATGTTAGGACCATGAATCAAGGTAAATTGGAAGTGGTCAAACAGGAGATGGCAAGAGTGAACATCGGCATTTTAGAAATCAGTGAACTAAAATGGACCGGAATGGGTGAATTTAATTCAGATGACCATTATATCTACTACTGTGGGCAAGATTCCCTTAGAAAAAATGGAATAGGCCTCCTAGTCAACAAAAAAGAGTCCAAAATGCAGTACGTGGGTGCAATCTCAAAAATGACTATGATCTCTGTTCATTTCCAAGGCAAACTATTCAGTATCACAGTGATCTAGGTCTATGCCCCGACCACTAATGTCAAAGAAACTGGTTGAACAGTTCTATGAAGATCTACATGATCTTCTAAAACATCAAAAAAAGATGTCCTTTTCATTACAGGGGACTGGAATGCAAAAGTAGGAAGTCAAAAGATACCTGGAATAATAGGCAAGTTTGGCCTTGGAGTACAAAATGAAGCAGGTCAAAGGCTATCAGAGTTTTGCCAAGAGAATGTACTGGTCACAGCAAACACCCTCTTCCAACAACACAAGAGAAGACTCTACACATGGACATCAACACATGGTCAATACCAAAATCAGATTGATTATATTCTTTGTAGTCAAGATGGAGAAGCTCTATTTAGTCAGCAAAAACAAGACCTGGAGCTGACTATGGCTCAGATCATGAACTCCTTATTGCCAAATTCAGACTTAAATTGAAGAAAGTAGGGAAAACCACTAGGTCATTCAGGTATGACCTAAATCAAATCCCTTATGATTATACAGTGGAAGTGACAAATAATTTCAAGGGATTAAATCTGATAGCCAGAGTGCCTGAAGAACTATGGACAGAGGTTCATTTAGAAAAGGCAGAGGAACCAGAAATCAAATTGCCAACATTCATTGGATCATAGAAAAAGTAAGAGAATTTCAAAAAAAATATCTACTTCTGCTGCACTGACTATGCTAAAGCCTTTGACTGTATGGATCATGACAAGCTACGGAAAATTCTTAAAGAAAGCGGAATACCAGAGCACCTTACCTGTCTCCTGCAAAACTGTATGCAGGTTAAAAAGCAACAGTTAGAACCAGACATGGAATAATGGACTGGTTTCAAATCGGGAAAGGAGTACATCAAGGCTGTAAATTGTCACCCTGCTTATTTAACTTATATACAGAGTACATCAAGAGAAACGCTGGGCTGGATGAAGCACAAGCTAGAATCAAGATTGCCAGGAGAAATATCAAAAACCTCAGATATGTAGGTGACACCACCCTTATGGCAGAAAGCAAAGAGGAACTAAAGAGCCTTTTTAAAAAAATTTTTTATTAGTTGGAGGCTAACTACTTTACAATATTGTAGTAGTCTTTGTCATACATTGACATGAATCAGCCATGGATATACATGCATTCCCCATCCCGATCCCCCCTCCCACCTCCCTCTCCACCCGATCCCTCTGGGTCTTCCCAGTGCACCAGGTCCGAGCACTTGTCTCATGCATCCAACCTGGGCTGGTGATCTGTTTCACCCTAGATAATATACATGTTTCGATGCTGTTCTCTTGAAACATCACACCCTCGCCTTCTCCCACAGAGTCCAAAAGTCTGTTCTATACATCTGGGTCTCTTTTTCTGTTTTGCATATAGGGTTATCGTTACCATCTTTCTAAATTCCATATATATGTGTTAGTATACTGTAATGATCTTTATCTTTCTGGCTTACTTCGCTCTGTAGAATGGGCTCCAGTTTCATCCTTCTCATTAGAACTGATTCAAATGAATTCTTTTTAATGGCTGAGTAATATTCCATGGTGTATATGTACCACAGCTTCCTCATCCATTCATCTGCTGATGGGCATCTAGGTTGCTTCCATGTCCTGGCTATGATAAACAGTGCTGCGATGAACATTGGGGTGCACGTGTCTCTTTCAGATCTGGTTTCCTCAGTGTGTATGCCCAGAAGTGGGATTGCTGGGTCATATGGCAGTTCTATTTCCAGTTTTTTAAGAAATCTCCACACTGTTTTCCATAGCGGCTGTACTAGTTTGCATTCCCACCAACAGTGTAAGAGGGTTCCCTTTTCTCCACACCCTCTCCAGCATTTATTGCTTGTAGACTTTTGGATAGCAGCCATCCTGACTGGCGTGTAATGGTACCTCATTGTGGTTTTGATTTGCATTTCTCTGATAATGAGTGATGTTGAGCATCTTTTCATGTGTTTGTTAGCCATCTGTATGTCTTGGAGAAATGTCTGTTTAGTTCTTTGGCCCATTTTTTGATTGGGTCATTTATTTTTCTGGAGTTGAGCTGGAGGAGTTGCTTGTATATTTTTGAGATTAATCCTTTGTCTGTTGCTTCGTTTGCTATTATTTTCTCCCAATCTGAGGGCTGTCTTTTCACCTTGCTTATAGTTTCCTTTGTTGTGCAAAAGCTTTAAGTTTCATTAGGTCCCATTTGTTTATTTTCACTTTTGTTTCTAATATTCTGGGATGTGGGTCATAGAGGATCCTGCTGTGATTTATGTCGGAGAGTGTTTTGCCTATGTTCTCCTCTAGGAGTTTTATAGTTTCTAGTCTTACATTTAGATCTTTAATCCATTTTGAGTTTATTTTTGTGTATGGTGTTAGAAAGTGTTCTAGTTTCATTCTTTTACAGGTGGTTGACCAGTTTTCCCAGCACCACTTGTTAAAGAGGTTGTCTTTTTTCCATTGTACATCCTTGCCTCCTTTGTCGAAGATAAGGTGACCATAGGTTCGTGGATTTATCTCTGGGCTTTCTATTCTGTCCCATTGATCTATATTTCTGTCTTTGTGCCAATACCACACTGTCTTGATGACTGTGGCTTTGTAGTATAGTCTGAAGTCAGGCAGGTTGATTCCTCCAGTTCCATTCTTCTTTCTCAAGATTACTTTGGCTATTCGAGGTTTTTTGTATTTCCATACAAATTGTGATATTATTTGTTCTAGTTCTGTGAAAAATACCGTTGGTAGCCTGATAGGGATTGCATTGAATCTATAGATTGCTTTGGGTAGTATAGCCATTTTGACAATATTGATTCTTCCAATCCATGAACACGGTATATTTCTCCATCTGTTTGTGTCCTCTTTGATTTCTTTCATCAGTGATTTATAGTTTTCTATGTATAGGTCTTTTGTTTCTTTAGGTAGATATACTCCTAAGTATTTTATTCTTTTTGTTGCAATGGTGAATGGTATTGTTTCCTTAATTTCTCTTTCTGTTTTCTCATTGTTAGTGTATAGGAATGCAAGGAATTTCTGTGTGTTAATTTTATATCCTGCAACTTTACTGTATTCCTTGATTAGCTCTAGTAATTTTCTGGTAGAGTCTTTAGGGTTTTCTATGTAGAGGATCATGTCATCTGCAAACAGCGAGAGTTTCACTTCTTCTTTTCCTATCTGGATTCCTTTTACTTCTTTTTCTGCCCTGATTGCTGTGGCCAACACTTCCAAAACTATGTTGAATAGGAGTGGTGAGAGTGGGCACCCTTGTCTTGTTCCTGATTTTAGGGGAAATGCTTTCAATTTTTCACCATTGAGGGTAATGCTTGCTGCAGGTTTGTCATATATAGCTTTTATTATGTTGAGGTATGTTCCTTCTATTCCTGCTTTCTGGAGAGTTTTAATCATAAATGGATGTTGGATTTTGTCAAAGGCTTTTTCTGCGTCTATTGAGATAATCATATGGTTTTTATCTTTCAATTTGTTAATGTGGTATATCACACTGATTGATTTGCGGATATTAAAGAATCCTTGCATTCCTGGGATAAAGCCCACTTGGTCATGGTGGATGATATTTTTAATATGTTGTTGGATTCTGTTTGCTAGAATTTTGTTAAGGATTTTTGCATCTATGTTCATCAGTGATATTGGCCTGTAGTTTTCTTTTTTTGTGGCATCTTTGTCTGGTTTTGGAATTAGGGTGATGGTGGCCTCATAGAATGAGTTTGTAAGTTTACCTTCTTCTGCAATTTTCTGGAAGAGTTTGAGTAAGATAGGTGTTAGCTCTTCTCTAAATTTTTGGTAGAATTCAGCTGTGAAGCCATCTGGTCCTGGGCTTTTGTTTGCTGAAGATTTCTGATTACAGTTTCGATTTCCTTGCTTGTGATGGGTTTGTTAAGATCTTCTATTTCTTCCTGGTTCAGTTTTGGAAAGCCATACTTCTCTAAGAACTTGTCCATTTCTTCCAAGTTGTCCATTTTATTGGCATAGAGCTGCTGGTAGTAGTCTCTTATGATCCTTTGTATTTCAGTGTTGTCTGTTGTGATCTCTCCATTTTCGTTTCTAATTTTGTTAATTTGGTTCTTCTCTCTGTTTCTTAATGAGTCTTGCTAATGGTTTGTCAATTTTGTTTATTTTTTCAAAAAACCAGCTTTTAGCTTTGTTGATTTTTGCTATGGTCTCTTTAGTTTCTTTTGCATTTATTTCTGCCCTAATTTTTAAGATTTCTTTCCTTCTACTAACCCTGGGGTTCTTCATTTCTTCCTTCTCTAGTTGCTTTAGGTGTAGAGTTAGGTTATTTATTTGACTTTTTTCTAAAGAGCCTTTTGATGAAGGTGAAAGAGGAGAGTGAGAAAGCTGGCTTAAAACTCAACATTCAAAAAACAAAGATCATGGCATCAGGCCCCATCACTTCATGACAAATAGATGGGGAAACAATGGAAACAGTGACAGACTTTATTTTCTTGCATTCCAAAATCACTGCAGATTGTGACTGCAGCCATGAAATTGAAAGACATTTGCTCCTTGGAAGAAAAGCTATGACCACCTAGATAGCATATTAAAAAGCAGAGACATTATTTTGCCAACAAATGTTCGTCTAGTCAAAGCTATGGTTTTTCTATTATTCATGTATGGATGTGAGAGCTGGACCATAAAGAAGGCTGGAAGTGTTAGGTCGCTCAGTTGTGCCCGACTCTTAGAGATCCCATGGATTGCAACCCACCAGGCTCCTCTGTCCATGGGATTTTCAAGGCAAGGATATTGGAGTGGGTTGCCATTTCCTTCTCCAGGGGATCTTCCCAACCCATGGATCGAACCCCAGTCTCCTGCACTGCAGGCAGATCCTTTACCGACTGAGATACGAGGGAAGCCATAAGGAAGGCTGAGTGCCAAAGAATTGATGTTGTTGAACTATGGTGCTGGAAAAGACTCTTGGGAGTCCCTTGGACTGCAAAGAGATCAAACCAGTGGAAATCAATCCCGAATATTCACTGGAAGAACTGATGCTGAGGCTGAAGCTCCAATACTTTGGCCACCTGATGCAAAGAACTGACTCATTAAAAAAGACCCTGATGCTGGGAAAGACTGAAGGCGGGAAGAGAAGAGGAGGACAGAGGATGAGATGGCTAGATGGCATCACCCACTTGATGGACATGACTTTGAGCAAGCTGCAGGATTTGGTGATGAACAGGGAAGCCTGGCGTGCTGGAGTCCATGGGGTCGCAAAGAGTCGGACACGACTGTGCAGCTGAACAACAACACTTAACTGGCTCTGCTGATCCTCTCTCCACCTCTCACTACTAACCAGGAACAGACTGATTGAAGAGGTTCCAAGTGTCTCTCCCTTACTTGTCTCACTTGAGAAATAAAATCTGTTTCCAACGTATCCACTATTCCAAGTGATAAAGTCTGTAATAACTATGTGCTGTGTTTAGTCACTCAGTAGGGTCTGACTCTGCGACCCCCAGGCTCCTCTGTCCACGGGATTCTCTAGACAAGAATACTCAAGTGGGTTGCAATGTCCTCCTCAAGGGGATCTTCCCAACCCAGGGATTGAACCCAAGTCTCCCACATTGCAGGTAGATTCTTTACTGTCTGAGCCCAGGGAAGCCCATGAATACTGGAATAGGTAGCCTGTCTCTTCTCCAGGGAATCTTCTGACCCAGGAATGGAATAGGGGTCTCCTGCACAGCACGCGAATTCTCTACCAGCTGAGCTATCAAGGAAGCCCTATAGGAATGTCAAAATATACTTATCTTCAGGAATCAGTGGTACCATACAAAAGTGAAAAGATACTCATACCAGTTTTTGGGTAGATGAATGGGATTTTCTAATACATACTTAGGTTATAAAACAAGTCAAGTGTTGAACAAAAGGCCTCCTTAGAGTCAAAGTAAAGCTAATCTTGTCCCCTGAAATAATTATTTTAAAAAATCCAAAGTTTTAGGAGCCTCTTTATACTTTTACACTAGCTTTTTTTTTTACTTCTTTTTTCACTAAAAATGATATAATTTTTAGAATGAAGAATACATACCTCTTTATCTAAAATTTTCTTTTTAAGATGAAAACTCTTCAATTTATGTGGCATATCATCACTAACTTTCTCATTCTCTTTGAAATGTTCAGCATCAGGATTGATGATGTCCTAAGCGTAACATTTTGAGAAGCTCTATTAAAAAGTTTTCAGTAAAATTAAAAGGATGAAGGAAAGAATACAAATTAAATGTCCTATGCAAAAGAAGAGGCCAAACCAAAGAAGGAAGAAAAATATTGAACTCAATTCTTCAGTTACTCATCATAAGACATCTAGTAACAGGTTAATGTGGAAATAATTCATCTAGATTCACATGTGCATATAAATTGTAAGTGGGACAAATTAGGATAACTGCTGGAAGTTAATACAGATTGATAATAACTATACATGACTACACACTCATAGATACATCTCCTCTTAGCTTAGTCAGTTTACAAATCCAAATTTTAGACTAATTGTTATACCTGACACTCAGACATCTTTAATAATATTGAGACTCTAGCTATTTCAGTGGCCCCCAGAATGAAGATACTCATACACTGTACCTGCACAATGAAGACCCTTGTAACCTAAGGGTCAAAGGTCAGACTACCTGGGTTTGGATCTGAGTTCTGCCACTTAGAGCTTCCCTGGTGGCTCAGTGGTAAAGAATCTTCTTGCCAATGCAGGAGATCTGGGTTCAGTCCTTGTGCTGGGGAGATCCCCTAGAGAAAGCGATTATGACCCACTCCAGTATTCTTGCCTGGGAAATCCCATGGGCAGAGGAGCCTGGTGGGCTGCAGTCCATGGGGTCACAGAGTCAGACACGACTGATCGACTGAGCACAGCAGAAAGCATCTGCTGGAGCTCTGAAATGGAATGGAAATTCATTCTGCCACTTAACTTTTGTGAGACTTTGAACAAGAAACTCAACTGTTCTAAGCCTGTTTGTTTTGCCACGTTAAAAAAATAGAAGTCTGATAATATATTTTTTTTAATGGTGTAAGAGTTGAATGAGATAACCCATGAAAAGCAGGGTCACTTTAAATGCCTCCAAGGACAGGGTGGGCAGCCAGCAAATATTTGTCCAGTGCCTATTAGAGGCTTACCCTGTATTAGCAGAGGGCATATCACATATCGAGTCTCTGAACTTAAAGCCTTGAGCAAACAGGTATTTGTTTGGCCTGTGCTGATGGCTCACTCCGTCACTGAGGGGTCTGGGAGAGAAGGAGCAGCCAGCAAATCAGACTGAGAAAGAACAGCAGCAGCCACTGAGACAGGAGGAAACCAAGCAAGTATGGTGAGAAAGATGTCTGAGGGCCAGGGGTGATGGAAAAGGTTGCAGCAAGAAGCGTTGGTGACACATACAAATTCAAACATTTTAAAGACAGAGCTTCAGGTGGATACAGTCTATGGGCTGTCAATTTGTGATCTCCGCTAAAATTACTTAGCTTGGTTTCCAGCCTTCAATAAATGCTAGCATTCAACAAATTTTAACTGAAAGAAAATAGGAATAAAGGTTGTGTTGGATCAGGAACACAGCAAACCCACGTTGCCAAATTTTGGCTCAGAGGAGTGCACTTAAGCTCAAAGAGATGTACAATAACCAGAGGGAACAGGAAGAAAGAGAGTTCAATAATTTGAGAAGCTGTTCCTAGTGTCATGCCCTTCAAATGTGCTCTCGTTAAGACATAGGGTTTGTCACTTCCCAGGGCAGCAGCGAATACCACTTCAGCTAAGGCTGAGAAAGGAAAATTTCCTTGGCCAGGTCACACAGCCAAGAGGTGGAGAGGCCGTGTCTGAAACTCACTGGACACTAACTTCATTTTCATTCTTCCCATGTACACAGCTCCACACTGCCCACCCTGCCCCAAAGCTGCACTTTAGATCAGACTGGGTAAACTGCCCACTCATGTGAACTCATCACTAGGAGCAGCTGGCCTGGAGCCCAAGGCTACTGCTCGGAGGGAGTTTTCCTAACACATGGAAAGTACTGACGGACGGGTTTTGCATGAAGTTCTTATATTTTTTTAGTCCTACTATGTTATCTTACTATTGATTTATGGGAATTAGATGATGAAAAAAAGACAGAACGAAGCAGTGGGAAGAAGGAAGAGCTGACTGATTGGTTTAAGTATCTGTATCAGTCAGTTCAGTCGCTCAGTCGTGTCCGACTCTTTGCAACCCCATGGACTGTAGCACGCCGCGCTTCTCTGTCCTTCCTCCTCTGTATCATTCCTTCCATTATTTTTCTTTCATAACTTTATTGTCCAATCTTGATATTTTTTGGTAAAAAATATGATTTTTGTATAATTACCTGTTGTGGGAGAAGTTCTACCATCAGATCCAGAAGACTGAGACTTCTGGACGTCGGCTGTGAAGTTCTTTTCATGTCTGGGGGGTTTGCACTCCCTTCTTCACAAGGTGAGTGATTCGGGGACAAATTAGAATGTGTCATCTTTGCATCCTACATATACACAATTCAGACTTGTCACAATAAAGAATCTGGATTACTTTTTAGGTAAAATGCTGAATAAAATACCTCTCTTAAAAACTCAAAGCAGTGGTTCTCAAACTTTTTGATTTTTAGGATGCTCTCATACTCTTAAAAATATTTGGGGATTCCCCAAAGCTTTTGTTTGCTAGGCTGTATCTGTCATTAGAAATCACAGCTGTGAACATCAAAAATATTGATTTACAAATTCATTTAAATAACAATATTTATGGTATTAGAAATACAATATCTATATTTATAAATATTTATTGTGTTATAATCTATTTTATATCATCAATATTCACTGTATTAGAAATTACAACTGAGAACATTCAAAAATATTTATTTACTAATTCATTTAAACAATAAATCTATTATGTCAGTATAAGTGACAATTTAATACAAAATTACCACATTTGTCAAAATGAAAAATCAGTGAAAAGTGGGAATGTTTACACTTTCTGCAAATATTTTTAATGTTGGCTTAACAGAAGACAGCTAGACTCTCCACTGTGCTCTCCACAGTCCATCAACCATGAAAGCAATTACACCATCACACGTCACATGGTTTCACTGGAAAACTGCACTGTACACGTGGGAAAGAATGAGAGTGAAAAAGGCAATGATGTCTTCATATTACCATGAAAATGCTTTGACATCAAAGATGCTCCCAGAGCACACATCGAGAAAAATGGACCTAAAGATTAATGAAAAGCAAAACTAGGAAGTAAAAAAAAAAAAACTCTACCATTAGTCAAGGTAGAGCAAAAGCTGCCTTTAAAAAAAGCAAGTTCAAGGAAAAAATTGTACAGTGGATAAACTGCTGCAGTTACACTAATTTACTCAGTGTTTACTGATTCAAAATTTGTCATGGTTTGGTTAACAGCCAAACTGAAGGTCATCTCTGCTTAGGCTGAAAGTGAAAACGAAAGTGTTAGTCACTCAGCCATGTTCCGACTCTTTTTGACCCCCTGGATTGTAGCCCGCCAGGCTCCTCTGTCCATGGGAGTTTTCTGACAAGAATACTGGAGTGGGTTGCTGTTCCTTTCTCCAAGGGATCTTCCTGACCTGCTTAGGTCAGTAGTTCTCAAAGCGTAACCCTGGGGCCAGAAGCATCAGGGAGACCCCAAGATCTTCCTGGAGACACACATGCCCAGGCCCCACCTCACACCTGCTGAATCAGAGATTCTGGGGTGGCCCCTGCAATCTGCTTTTTCACAGCTGAGGCTGACTAACACTAAAGTCTGAGAACTACACTGGCTTAGATAATCTTTCCTTCTTTCTGGAGAAAAGATGACAGAATTTTTAGTCCTATGAAAACAGTATTTCTCTAAGAGCCATTAAAAATAATAGAATCCTTGCCTTGCAAACAATACTTAATACTGATTAGAGATTCACAAAAGAAAGTCTTCTAAGGACATCTTTGAGCAACAGATCAACTCAGTTTATGTTATTATGACAAATATAAAAGTAAACATATACATTTTTCTGACTCAGATTAGCCTTCTAAAAGAGTTAATACGGAGAAGGCAATGGCACCCCACCCCAGTACTCTTGCCTGGAAAATCCCATGGATGGAGGAGCCTGGTAGGCTGCGGTGCATGGGGTCACTAAGAGTTGGACACGACTGAGCGACTTCACTTTCACTTTTCACTTTCACACATTGGAGAAGGAAATGGCAACCCACTCCAGTGTTTTTGCCTGGAGAATCCCAGGGACGGGGGAGCCTGGTGGGCTGCCGTCTATGGAGTCGCAGAGAGTCGGACACGACTGAAGTGACTTAGCAGCAGCAGTAGCAGAGTTAATAAGATTGCGCTACAGATATTTTAAGGCACGCCTACAAAACTGAAATAGAGCAGATGTGCTCTGGCTTGTGAAGATTATCACTATTTGGCTTCCAGTTGTCTACCAAAAAAGCCATCTAAACTGCAAATACAAAATTACAGGTTCTCCAAACACATTGATATGAGGCTCTCATGTTGTTCTTAACCAGTGTTAAGTAGATATATTTGATGATCATTTTGCAATATATACAAATATTGAAGCTTTATGCTGTATACCTCAAACTAGTATAGTATGCCATCTCAGTAAAAATGTTTATAACTTTACAAAATTACTGTGTGATACAATGTAGGTTTTGCCTTGTAAACCAAATATGCAGCTATATTATTTAGTTTTACTGTTGAATAGGCAGACATGGCATGAAAAGACTGGGATTCCCACTCAGAAATTCTTTTCTCAGGGGAACCTGTGTATGATTGCTCATGCACGCGTGTCTGTGTGTGCTAAGTCGCTTCAGTCGTGTTCGACTTTTTGCGACACTATGGACAGCAGCTGACCAGACTCCTAGGTACCCACGAAATTCCCACATTCATTTGCAACTCTACCAATATAATCGCAAGAGGCCAGGAATGGCTGTTCTTTAATGTGAGTATCTGAGACCCAAAGAAACTCCTCCAAACCTATGGTGCCTTCTCCATTGTCTCTCTCTTTTTGGTTGTTAATTCTCTCCACCAACAAATTAGGGTATGGGCCATGCCCAAATGCGCCTCAGCAGACTATCAGAAGCTCCTGAAATTCTGCCTTAGAGATTCTGAATTTGTGATAATACCTTGGCCACATCTGACTCTATTACATCCTCTAAGTTATCCTTGAGTCCAGCTATCTCACATTTAGGGACACAATTTTGCTCCTCACTCCTCGCAACCTGCTGCCGAAGTTTTGTGTTTTCATTTTTTACTTCATTGATCTGCTGCCGGAGTTCTGCATTCTTAGCCTTTTCACCGTTGGATAGGAATTGTACATTCTGAACCTGAGCGACCAATTTCTCAAGTTTAGATTTCAATTTCTCTCTTTCATCCAGGTGTTCCCTTTCACATTTCTGAAATTCCTCTCGTAAAGACAGGAATTCTTGCTCTCTGGTCTCCCTCTCCCTTTTCAGCAAGTCCAGAGCGGCAATGGTGGCCTTTTCCAGCTCTCCTCTGAGCTGCTGCAGTCTCTCTATCTCTTCTTCTTTCTTGCTCAAGGCACTGTCCATCTCCATGCACTGAGTCATGTACCTTTCCTGTAGACTCACATAATTGCCCTTGAGTTTCTTAAACTCTAACTGTAAGGTTTCCTTTTCACTCTGGTATTCCTGAAGGTGGTTTTGGGTGGTAACTAAAATCTCATGCACACCCTGGAGTGTCTTCTCTGTATCACTCTTCTCTAGCTTTATTCTGTACTTTTCTTCAATTAACTCTTCGATCTTCTCCTTTAGCTTATTAATGATGTCCACAAACACGTGCTGTTTAGTCGTAGTCATCTGTAGTTCTTCAACCTTCTTCTCTAAATACGAGTTACAACGCTCTAGGTCTTGGATCCGAGTTTCCTGTTCTTTGTTGGTACGTTTTAATTTCCGTAGGACTTCATTTAAAGCCATGTCCTCTTCCAGAGGTTGTAAGCTTTCCAAGCTCTGCTCTGCATCAGGTGTCATGCAGGCCTCCTGAGACGCTCCACCACTCCAACAAACGCCTGCAGGAGCCCAAGTTGAGACCATCTGTGGACTCCACCTGCCTTTTTCTGGGACTTCCTTTTGGTGCCTGACTGACATCTCAGGAATATCCATAGAATTCTGTACTCCTTTGGAAGAACCTGCAATCTGTAAATTACAGTAAATAAAATAAGTCTGAAAGAGTAGAAAGATCATGAGCTTTGAGGTCAGAGAGAGCTGCCCTTGAACCCTGGATCCCTAAATTCGGTTTTCTCAGCTCTGAAATAACAGGGGTGACGTGTACATACAACATTAATAAATAATTAACAAAAATCCTTAAGTATTAGTTGCAGAATGTATGTCCTGCACTTAGCAGCACAGCAGGTATGGTATATGTTTTATACTTTTACAAAAAAAAGTAAACATTGACACTCTCATCATCATCTATGACACAAACTTTTCTGAATACATACAAGATATTTCCTTTGACTTCAAATGAATTAAAACAAAGTTATTCATTACCCTAAATCTGCAAAGACATTTTAAAAAATTATTTTTGAGATAATGTTGGTTTTTAACATTATGTAAACCTCATTGTGTATATTACATTTCTACTTCTGTTTACACTACAGCATACTCACCACCAAACATTTAGTTTCCATTTATCACCACACAGTTGATCCATTTTACTCATTTCACTTATTTTGTTCATTTATTTTTTGGTTTTTATTTGTTTGGGTTTTATTGTACTCCATATATGAATGAAATCATATTTGTTTTTCCCCATCTGACTTATTTTACTTAGCATAATACCCTCACGATCCACCCATCCATGTTGCCACAAATGGCGAAATTTCATCTTATTTATGACTGAGTAGTATTCTATTGGAAATATATGAAATATCTTCTTTATCCATTTATCCATTGATAGCCACTTAGGTTGTTTCCATGTCTTGGTTATTGTAAATAATGCTATGATGAACATAGGGGTGCATATACTTTTTTCTTTTTTTTTTTTTTAAATTTATTTATTTATTTATTATTTTTTTTTTATCACAACCATAGTGTATCTTTTTTTTTTTTTTTTACATGTATTCCCCATCCCGGTCCCCCCTCCCACCTCCCTCTCCACCCAATCCCTCTGGGTCTTCCCAGTGCACCAGGCCCGAGCACTTGTCTCATGCACCCAACCTGGGCTGGTGAACTGTTTCACCCTAGATAATATACGTGTTTCAATGCTGTTCTCAGTGTTTTTGTATTTTGGGGATAAATACCTGGAAGTGGAATAGCTGGATCATATGTGTTCTTTATATTTTGAGGACTCTCCACGCTGTTCTCCACAGTAGGTGCACCAATTTACATTCCCACCAACAGTATAGGAGCATTCCCTTTTCTCCACACCCTCTCCAACATTCATTATTTGTAGACTTTTTGATGAGAGCCATTCTGACCAGTATGAGGTGATAAACTCATTGTGGTTTTGATTTACATTTCCCTAACAATTAGCAATGTTGAACATCTTTTCATGTGCCTGTTGGCCACCTGTATGTCTTCTTTGGAAAAATGTCTATTCAGTTCCTTTGCCAATTTTTTAATTAGATAATTTTTTGTTGTTATTGAATTGTATAAATTCTGTATATATCTTGGATACTAACCCCTTATTGGTTATGTGGTTTGCAAACATCTTTTCCCAGTTGGCAGGTTGTATTTTGTAGATAGTTTCCTCCACTGTGCAAAAACTTCTTAGTTTGATGAGGTCCCATTTATTTTTGCTTTTGTTTTCCTTGCCTGACGACACATACCCAAAGATATTGCTAAGGTCAATTCACTAATTATACTGCCTATGATTAGTTCTAAAACTTTTATGGTTTCAGGTCTAACATTCAAGTCTTGAATCCATTTTGCATTAACTTCTGTGTATGGTGTGAGATACTGATCTAGTTTCCTGTTTGTTGTTTTTTTTTTGGCATGTGGCTGTCCAGCTCCCCCATCACCATTTATTGAAGAAACTACCGTTTTTCTACTGTATGTTCTTTGCTCCTTTGTTGTAAATTAAATTTATTGTTTTTATATGGCCATCTTTGTCTCTTATTACCTTTTTTGATTTGGAGTTTGGAGTCTATTTTGTCAGATATGAATCTAGCTACATTCAATTTCCCTTAGCTACCATTTGCTTTGGACATCATCTTCCATCCTTTCATTTTGAGTCTACGTTTATCTTTAAAAGCTGAAGTGAGTTTCCTGGAGGGAGTAGACGGTTGGATCTTGTTTTTAATATATCTCTTTCGGAGTGCAGGGAGGTCTTGCTTTTTAATCCATCCAACCGCTCTTTTCTCTTTTTTTTTTAAGATTTATTTATTTATTTTTGACTGTGCTGAGTCTTATTTGCCGCATGCAAGCTTTCTCTAGTTTTGGAGAGCAGGGGCTACTCTTTGTTGAGTTATGAGGTATGAGGGCTTCCCTCATAGCTCAGTTAGTAAAGAACCTGTTTGCAATGCAGGAGACCCTGGTCGAATCCAGAGTGGGGAAGATCCGCTGGAGAAGGGAGAGGCTACCCACTCCAGTATTCTTGGGCTTCCCTGGTGGCTCAGCTGGTAAAGAATCCGCCTGCAATGCAGGAGACCTGGGTTCGATCCTTGGGTTGGGAAGATCCCCTGGAGAAGGGAAAGGCTACCCACTCCTGTATTCTGGCCTGGAGAATACAGTCCATGGGGTCACAAAGAGTTGGACACTACTGAGCGACTTTCACTCACACTTATTTACTTTTGACTGTGCTGAGTCTTCTTTGCTGCTCAAGTTTTCTCTAGTTTTGGAGAGCAGGGGCCACTCTTTGTTGAGGTGTGCTTCTCGTTGCAGGGGCTTCTCTCTCTGAGGTTCATGGGCTCTGGAGCACCTGCTCCATAGCTGTGGTCCATGGGCTTAGCTGCTCTGAGGCATGTGGATTCTTCCTGGAACAGGGATTGAACCCATGTCCACTGCATCAGCAGGTGAATTTTCAACCAGTGCACCACCAGGGAAGCCCCAACCAATCTGCCTTTTGATGAATTAAATCCATGTACATTTAGGATGATTCTTGACAGATGAGAACTTGGTTTTATCTTTGATTTTCTGATTGCTCTGTATCTCCACGGTTTCTTTTTCTTGTGTTTCTGTCTGCTGTTCTGGTTTGGTGGTTTTCTATGATGTTTCTCTTTTTTATGTTTCACATCTTTGCTCTAGATCTTTACTTTGTGGTTATCATGAGGTTTGTCTAAAACATCTTATAGATAAAACAGTCCTTTTTCTCTGCTGACAGCATCTGATCTTCATATGCCTATACAGGTTCTGTCCTTTTCCTCTTCCTCTTTTGTTTTTGCTGTCTCAAATTATCCCTTTTAATGTTGTAAATTTATTACCAATTTAAAGTATTTATAGTAACTTTTTCTGCTTTTTTTCCCCCTTGACATTTATGGCATAATACAGTGTAAATAATCTATTCTGACATAAAGTTTCAATTTTCTGACTCTATTTATCACCTTACTCAAAGTTTTGTGTATTCTACATTTTTATTTTGGGCATAAGAGCTCATTTCAACATCTCTTGTAAGCAAGGTCTAGTGTAATGAACTCCTTCAGCTTTTGTCTGTCTGCTGCTGCTGCTGCTGCAAGTCTCTCCAGTCTGAGAAAGTCTTTATTTCTCCTTCATATATGAATGATAACTTTTCTGGGTAAAGTATTTTTGACTGACAGTTTTTATCTTTCACTATTTTGAGAATTTTATTCCATTCCCTCCTGGCCTATAGTTACAGCTGAAAAATCTGCCGATCCCTAATGGGGATTCCTTTATAGATAACCATCCTTTTTTCCCTTTTTAAATGTTTTTATCTTCAATAAAATTTTTATTCTGGAATAATTTTAGGTTTACGAAAAAGTTGTAAGCACAAAGAGTTCTCTATACCTCTCACCCAGGGTCCCTTAATGTTAATGTCTTGTATACCATGGCACACTTGTCAAAACAATACAAATGCACTGCTATTAACTAAACTCCGGATTTTACTAGTTTTCTCATTAAGGTCCTTCTTCTGTTCCAATATCCAGTCCAGAGTATCGCATTGTATTTAACACCTCTTTGTCGTTGATTTTTGACAGTGTTAATACCACGTCTTAGAGAAGATCTACCAGCAATGATTTCTTAGCTTCATAGATTTGTACGTACAGTTCTTTTCTCAGGTTTGCTATTTTTTTAGGTTAGCTATTTTTTTAAAAAAAAAAAAAAACCTTAATCTTTTTACATCACTGATATGCTCTTGGTTTTAGTAATCCTTATTTATATTTATTTTTTGGCCATCCCTTGTGACATATGGGATCATAATACCCTGCCCAGGGATCGAACCTATGCCCCCTGCACTGGAAGGGTGAAATCTTAACCACTGGACCACCAGGGAAGTCCCTCAGCTATTATTTCTTTAAGTAAATTCTCTGCTCCTTTCTCCTTGTCTCTCTCTCTGGGATTTCCCATTACCCTACCATTGTCCTTCCTAAAAGAGTTGTGCAGCTCTCACAGAATTTCCTCACTTTTAAAGATGCTCTTTCCTCTTCTACCTGCTTCATTTCTATTAGATTTCTATCCCTAAGCTTGTTAATCCTCTCTTCCAAATGGTCTGCTCTGTTTCCAAGGCTTTCTAATCCCTTCTTCATCTTGTTAATTGTTGAGTTCTTCAGCTCCAGAATTTGTTTGTTTCTTTTTTTTGAGTTTCAACATTTTGGCAAAATGTTCCTTCTGTCAGTACACTTGATTCCTTAGCTCATTGAATTGCCTTTCTGAGCTTTCTCAGAGATCCTTGAATTTCTTTATGATGGCTATTTTGAATGTACTGTCAGCTAGATCTCAGTATTCCATGGAGGTTAAGTCTAGTTTCTGGAGAACTGCCGTTTTCTTTTTGTGGTATTGTTACTGTGGCTCACCCTCGGTGCCTTAGTTGTTCCTCGGCACACTGCATCTGAAGTAGCAAAAGGGCTTCCTTCTTTAGGTGAAGATGCTTTGTTTTAATTTTTCTTGGTTCTAATGACTCAATGGGTTAGAAATTAGAGGCCTTTCTTTTGTTTTCCAGGAGATGGCATCTATAGCTTGTCTTTGGTCTCTCTTTCCTGCGCTACCTCTGGTTACCTTTGGGCGTTGGCACTGCCCAC